CCTCGACCCAAGTTCTGCACCGCCGAATGCCCCAAACTGAGGCCCTGAGCATCTTCCAGATAGAAGCCTTCATGGGCTGCCTTCAACCCTAGAGCCCTTAACTCCTAGATGCTTAAACTGAAACACTAAGCCGCGCCCAATCCTTCAGATCATCCTCATCCTGCTCTTGCTCAGAGGCTTCCGAGGAGCTGGAGGATGAGGACCTCAACATCATGACCCTCGACGACATCATGAACCCCCTCCTGAATCAGGATGATCATGGGGATCACAAATGTAAGATCCTCCGTTTTGCGCAAGGACTCCACTAGAGTTCCAAATTCGCGGCCCCCAAAATGGTACTTGCATGTTCTTGCTCTTTCGGCTCTTTCCGACCAAAATGGAAAATCTGTTTTGGATCATTCTGTCTGAACAAGCTTGAGTTGGTAAAGGGGGCTACGATGCTCGTTAGCATATGATATGCAAAGGCGGAAAAGGAAAACAGCTGCCAGAATCACTCTTCATCCCATCTCATAACACAAATCCCCTTAAACCCCCCAAAAAAGTCCTACCCTCTCAACAGGATGAAGGTCGAAGGACGCAAGAAGCCACACTAGCTCCCCAGCCCGACTTCCGAGATTGCATTTAAAAACCAGACAGCAAAGTTCTGGGCCCCAAGGAAACGGTTTAGGGTTCAGTATGTAGGGTTTAGGGGTTTAGGGTTTAGAGCTCAATGTCGGCGATAAGCGCTTTGCATCTCGCATTTTGAGTCTCGGGCTCAGCATCTGCGGTTCAGCCCCGAGGTATCAGTAAGGCTTGCAATTTCAGATTTAAAGTAAACCCATGCTGAATAAAACCCCGCTCTCTAGATGCCATCGTATTGTCTCCAGTTTAAAGCCTTTTACCCGTGGGGGGCGTACGAACTACGGGCCCACAGCAAGTTTTGAGGCGTAGCGCTTGTCTGCTTTGAAGCGGGCGCTGCACTGTGCCGGCGTCTCCTGGCTGCAAGTGAGACGTGGGCGGGAGCGAGTGAGCACATCCGGGTTTATTGCTGCGGGTGCGTAACATAGCGGGCTTCATAATTAGAATAGGGTTTGAGGGGCCCTTTATACAATGTAAACAGGGCCTCCCAAAACAGTATAGGTAGTTAGTAAGGCCCCCATGTTATGCAAGGGCAACATGTCAGGATGGTGCAGATCCCAGCTCCTCCTCGGGCTCTTCTTCCTCGTCCGAATGGAAATCGAAGTCTTTGCCGAGCTGCTGCAACTGGCCAAGGCTTCAGAGACTAGGGTTTAGGGTTTAGGGTTTAGGGGTTTAGGGGTTAGGGTTTAGGGGTTTAGGGTTTAGGGTTCAGGGTTTAGGGTTTAGGGGTTTAGAGTTCAGGAGTTTAGGAGTTAGGGTTTAGGGTTTAGGGGTTTGGGAGTTAGGGTTTAGGGTTTTAGCACCATGTATTCAGACATGACCGATCTCCCCCGATGCGCTGCCTCAGCGAACCAGCTGAAGGATCCATCTGCCATGGCATCTAAATGCGGTACATCACTTTGAACCTTTTTCCTGTTATACCCTGAATCCTTATGCGCAAGCAAACAGGGAGTCATAGCTGCAGCAATACGATGCAGGAGGTTTACCGGAAACATGGAGGCAGCAAACCTTCAGCCAGAACGACTGAAGCTGCAAAGACTCGAGTGAACATTTAGGATAGTCTCTGAAGGCTTGCAGACAATTTTCCTGCTGAGTTCCCTGGCGAAACGGCGAACCGTGCAACCTACAGGTCATAGACTCGGCTACGTGGGCAGTTTATTGGGGTCCCTGTTTACGTCCCCAAACTAGTACGGCACCCTGGTAGAAGGACCCTGATTTAGAGAACTACGCACAACCTGACGGCATCGAGTTGAACCTTACTTACACTTCGGCGGCCTGCTGGTTAAGGCATAAGTCCCAAAACCGAACCCGGAGGCCTTTGCCGCCTTGAGAGGGCGCAGGGACTGCGGGTTTTGAAGATTTAAGGGTAAGGGATGTACGGGTGTAGAGGTTAGAGGATGCAGGGGTTGAGGGGTTTAGGTTGAGGGGCTTATGGGTTTGAGACTGCAAGGGTTTTACAGGTTTTGGGGTGTCAAGGATTTGGGTTTAGGGGTTCAGGGCTGTATGGCGATAAGGGATTGCGGGTTGAGGGGCAGCGGGTTGTCTAAGGATCTAGGGTCTGGGACACTGGCCTGTAAGGATTTAGGGTTTGGGTGTTTTTCCCCCAGAAATCCTTCGGAAGCCAGTTTTTCGCCCCCACACTCTGCGTTTAGCTCTTCCTTCGCTTCTCTGGCGGCGGAGACGCACCGTCCTAGAGTGCGGGGTTAAGGATTTCAAGTGTTGGGATTTCACGTTTAGATTTTCGGATTGGGTTTAGCTTGATATTGCAGTTCGGTACATGACTTTCACACGTTGCACAAGGGGTTTTAGCGTTCATGCAACATCTAGAGTTTGTATAGGGTTGGGAATGGGTTTGCTGCAGGGTTGTTTTCAGCGGCAGTTCTGAAACTAGAGAGGCAGCTGAAGGTTTACGTGTTTGGATTCGAGTTTTCGGTTCGGGTGGTTCATGACTTCAGCGGTTTAGGTCGGCTCGCACGGCGATTTCCTGAAAAGCAAGGTCTCTCCGTTTTCGTTCTGAGATCCAACTGCTTGGGGTCCCAAAAGTCCTAAACCCTAATCTCTCGCTGATAAGATCAAACTCCTCAAGAGGATCCCTTACCCTAACCCCGCCGTGACTTCGAAACCCCTCGCTTCAAATGATCCTGAGGACCCCTGTACAACTCACGGAGTATTCCCTAATGAAAGTGCTCTAGAGTCTCGGCGCGTGAACCATAAAACCCCCAACCTCTGCAGTAGAAGCCAAAACGGTTGGAAACCTAATGGCCTCACTCCTTAAGAGTAATGTATAGGGAATCCCAGCACTATTTGGCCTTAATCCGGTTTCCAACTTTATGGAGTTTACTGTACTCCTAAGTGGAGGCTCAGGATTTAACGAGTTGGGTTTAAGGCACCCTGAATCCCCGCTTCAGGGCTCAGGCGTTCAGGGCTTCAGGCAGGCTTCGGTGATTTTCAGAGTTTAGAGATCAGGGTTTAGGGTTGCATAGTTTCAGGCCTGGGGATCGGGATTTATGCTCTCGGGTTGCACGGTTCATGATGGCTTTTTGGCTCCCTGCGTGGGGGGATCTGAAGAGTTCCAGCATACAAAGTGCAACGGCCCCTACGACTACACAGCCCTGTAAACCCACTGCATGCCGCACACGAACCCTGAACCTATAACCTGAGCGGGGCTCTCCTTTCTATAAGTCCACTTTACCCCAGACCTTGCCTGAACAGTTGACACTACATCCTAGACCACCCTTAGCCCTAAACCCCGAACCCTGAAGCCCCACAAATCTCTGAACGCTACACCCATCCCAAACCCAAACCCTGTGGCCTAGGCCTAAACCCCCCAAGCCTACAGAAGAGCGAGAGCAATGCGAAGCTAGCGGCGGACAGCATGCGCCGCACAATTGGGCTGACATAGCCTTGTTGCTCAGGCATTGTTGCTTCGGATTGAGGGTTTACTCTACGGGCTAAAGCGTTCGTGGGCTTACAGTCTACTTAGAGGCTCGGACTTGGTATTGCCAGTGAGGGAATCTTCCAGTACGGTACTTCTCACCCCAGGGAGAACCGACTTCTTACCGTTGGGTAGTAGGGAATGGAAGAATGGCAGTAATAGGCTTCTTTAAAGCGATCCTTTAAGGGATCTATAGGGCCAGGGTTTAGGGTTTAAGGTTTGGTTAGTACGGAATGGAAGATTGGCAGTAATAGTAGTTATAATTGTACCCCATTCTCCTCCATTCCCTACTAGCCAACGGTAAGACTTGCTAAGAGCCATGGCAGCCATGATCCTTGAAGAAGGCAGGAAAGCACAGGATTTGGGAGCGGAGGGCAGCAGGCCCAAACTCCAACCCTAAACCCCAAACTATTAAGTACCCACTTAGCACTGTGAATTTCATCAACATATCATAAACTTCTGAATAAACGCAAAAACTCTAGCCTATAGCACGTCATAACTCTGAAACATGCACTTGAAAATGCTACAGTGCATCCAAACTCCAAGGCAGCACAAAACACGCATACACACGCCCACATACACCATAACTCTTGGCAGAAGCTCAAAAGAAAAGAAGCTCCAAAAACAAACTCATTATAAGCTCTACTACTGTAGGGACCTTAATGATTACAACAGAGTCTCGGAGCCCACTATACTATAATTATCAGAAGGAACCCCCCAAAAAAAAACAATTCAAAAGGATCTCCGGGCGCCTTCCCCAGACCAGAGGATGGGAAAGAACTGCTCGCTGACCTCGGAGCTTCCCTCTGCAAGCACGTAGCGGCCGTAGATGTAGTCCTGCAAGGGGGTTTAGGGTCTTGGCTTAGGGGTTGGGGTTCGGGGCGTCGGGGTTCAGGATATAGGGGTGTAGGGCTTAGGTTCTTGTTAGGAATTTAACTGAAGTCACCAGAATCAGGAAGTTTAGGGCTTTGTAGGGCCTAGGGTTTGGGGGTGGAAGGTTTTAGGGTTTAAGGCTTAGGGCTTAGAGGGTTTGCTACGGGTATTGAGACCCCGATATTGATCATAAAGCCAGGAATGAGCAAGAATCTCAATCAGGTTAAGCGTTGCATCTTAAACGCCGCAACATCCTTTTTCTACACATTCAAACTGTGAAGAAACCGTAAACCCTCCACCCTAAACTCTGAAAAGTGCATTCAACACACGGCGTCCGGATGAGGCTCCGTCCGAAACTTCACATCGCCTGTGCACTTTCCGGTGTGTTTTTGCTTCGGGGCTTCAGTATATTAGGAGTATAGGGTTTAGGGTTTAGGGTTTCGAGTGGATGTTTGGGCACTGCCGGCTCCAAATCCCAAGCAGGCCGGCTTTCCACGATCTCCAACAGATTAAATACAACTACAGTAGATGATGTGCTGTGGCTCAACTCTTCTTTTCTGCCTTGGCTCACTGCTCAAAGGTTGCCATCCCACAGCGCGCAGCGCACGCCTGTCTCCCTCAGCGCGTTGTAGCGGCGAGTGGATTCTGCTGTGACGGCAGGGGAGTTCCTGGCATACTGGGCAACCCCCCTACCACGCAGGCCTTGCCACTCCTCGAAAATCTGATCCCTCAGAACACTCATGGCCGGGGCTAACCACTCTGCCATTTCCAAGATTCGCTTATCCTGGGTGAAAGCAGTGGCTGCAGATTTCTTCGCCGCCATCTCCTCGTCGCAAACCTCACCTTCAAAGCGCCAGTTGTAGACCAAAGGAGTCACCAGTGTCAATCTAACACTTGCAGGGGCGACTGCGTGCGTGATGTAATACCAGTCGTCATCCTTCACCGCACCAATGCCTTTGTATCTGTCGAGGAGTTGCTGCAACGCATCGCAGGGGCTGCGGCCTTTGAAGGAGAGCCCAACTCCTGGAGGCAGAAAGCGAGGCCGCTTGCGCGGGTTGGGCGGGTTCGCGAGCTTCACCTTCAGGCTCCCGATGGTCAGGATCGGCCGTGCCGACTCCAGACAGGTCGCTGCAGCGTCTGCATTGCACAAAGTTGCAACGGACCCCGCAGAGGCAGTGGAAGTCGATCGATCGCCTTCCCGCCTGGCTAGCTCAACTTCTTGCACATCATCCTCCGACTTGACTGTGAGGCATCGCTTTCGGGATTCCCTCGGCGAAGGCAGCACGGTGCCTTCTTCGATATTGGTACCCTCGCACTCCACGCTGTCAGCCAAATGCCACGCGGTGCTGTCCTCGAACTTAGCATCCTTGAACTCCACGCTGCCAGCAGAATACCATTCGAGCTTCGTTCCCTCGCACTCCATGCTGTCAGCCGAATGCCACACGGTGTCTTCTTCGTTCTTGGCTCCCTGGCACTCCACGCTGTCAGCCAAATGCCACGCGGTGCTGTCCTCGAACTTAGCATCCTTGAACTCCACGCTGTCAGCCAAATGCCACGCGGTGTCTTCTTCGTTCTTAACTCCCTGGCACTCCACGCTGGTGCCTTCGTCGATCACAACATCCTCGAACTCCATGCCGGCAGCCGAATACCATGCGGTGCCATCCGCCTAAGCTTCTTTGATCTCCTGCTTGGGCTTGAGGCTGACACCGCATTTGCCAGAATGCTTCTCGGGACTTGACCCCGGATTGTGCGAGCCTGAACTTGCACTTGCAGTGATGCTCTGGGAACTGCTGATGTCTTCGTGACTGGGAAGCCCACAACCTCAGACCCTGAATGCTCTGAAACCCGAACCCAGAAAGCCCCAATACTCCTACATTCAGCAACATACTCTGAATCGTCTTTAGGATCGCTGTATAAGTGTTCCTAAGCTTTGGCTCCATGTTCAGCTCTATCTATTGTGGGGGCTCCAGGACCTACACTGCCCTAATCCCTGCAACCCTTTAACTTCCAACCCTCAAGCGCTTCAACTTCAAAGCTCTTAACCCGACAACCCCGAAATCGCAGAGAAACCCCATCAAAGGCCCTCGAAAATGAAACTGCGCCACCCCAAACCCCCCTTCAGCCCTGCAGAGCCCATACTAAATCCCCAAAAAGAGGCCAGCGCTCAAAATTCCTCCCTGCAGCCTCGCAAGAGATGTACGCCCAAGGCCCGCCGAGGCCGATCCTGCGCAGAGGTAGTCGGACCCAGAGTTTACTTACCTTATGTCAATAGGGAATGGAGGAATGGGGCAAATTTATAACTACTATTACTACCATTCTTCCATTCCCTACTAACCAAAGGTAAGTTTAGGGCCTCCAGATTTCAAGGTTTAGGGCACCGGGTTTAGGGATTGAGGCTTCAGTGACTTTCTCCGGTTTGTTGGGCAGTTCAGGGGTTTTCGGGGCTTGTGGAACTTTGGGGTTTCGGAGTTTTCAAGATTTTTAGGGCGGGCGTTTGGGGCTTAGCGCGGAGAGGCTTATAGGGGCTTAGGGGCTTAGGGTTGAAAGTCTAGGGTTTGGGGTGTTTGTGGCGCTTGGTGCGTTTAGTGCCCAAGGTTTATGATGTAAGACTTGGGGCGCAGGTTTAGGACAAGGATGTAACACTCGTATATTTAACTTTGGGGCCATCTCATGCTTCATGCCTGACGGCTGAGCTTACAAACCCAGAGACTCCAAAACCCCTTAATTAAGGAATATACCTTAAATTATAGTAGGATCCATAATATGATTTACGGCTCCTGAATTAAGGGATATTGGAGTCTCTGGGAAACCAGGCTCAGGATTTACGGAGTTCAAGAAGCTTGGTGTTGGAAGTCTCGCGGCGTGGAGACTCGAAGGGTCAGGAGCGCAAGGTGTGGGCTTCAAGTCTATACCTTGGGTACGTACTGCCCGCACCCTGTAGCAATCTATACTAGCATCATTTTAGAGGCTACATATGATTATATTATGAGCAATATCCAACTGTTACAGAATGGGGGAAATACCCAATCCATACCTACGATCGGCAGGCAGAATTTGTGCCTGATGGAACTTTCCGCCGGCTTGATGAAGCTTTCTTCGATCCAAGGTTACCTTGTGATTGGGATCGTTTTTCTTAACCGTCTCAACTCTGAAACCTAAACCCTACACCCTAAAAATCCTAAAACCTAAACCTCAAACTCCAATTTTTCAACTCCCGCACACGCAAACCACAACCTTGACTCGCCCGATGTGAAGCCAACCCTAACAAGGGACTTTAAATCTTTGCAATAAGGTTTTGAGGTATAGTCTAGTGTAATTACATCAAGGAGCCGTAAGGAATTCTATAGTCAGAAGCAATAACTTCAAACGATTACACATCACTCAGCCACCCGTGCGCCCAGCAATCGAGACCCTCTAACCTCCAACTCTCTCATCTTCAAAACTCCGAACTCTCAACCTCCAGGCTCCAAACCCTCTTGAGCCGTCGCCTACCTGAACTCATGAACCCTGCAGCGAACCCTAAACCTACAAATTTCGAAACCCCAAAACCGTACCCGACTCCTGAAGCCGAAGCACACCACACCCGGAACGTTCAGTCCTTGGTCGTGTTCGGGCCCGAGCCGTGCCAGACGTCCTTCCGCGTGCACCCCAAAGGGTGGCTGTTGGCTTCAGATGTAAGAAGGTTGAGGGTTCAAAACAATGTTGAAATGTAGGGGTGAAGGCGTTTTAGAGTCTGGGGGACAACGATTTAAGATTGAAAACAGTACATCACAGGCTCCTGGGCTTAGGCCCTTAGAGTCTTATGTTCTTAGCCTTGGGGGTTAGGTTGGCCGGTCCTACGCTGCGCGTCCTCAAAAGCCTTGCTTGTGGAGACTTGACAAGTAACGCGGGGCCTGAACTGAACATGTTCTTATTGTATGTCATAGTGTATTCGCATAGGGGGGCTACAACAGAATGGATTAATTAACCAGTCTAGCCCCGTAATCCCCGAGTTGAAACTTGAGGTCTTGGTGCTCTGAAAAAATTGGAAGACCTAGGGTTATCATGATAATCGGATGTCAAGCCGACCTACGAAATCCCCTGATCATTCGAGGAAACTTCTGGCTCATAAACCTAGATTCCTTCAAGGCCATCACATGCCGATCCCGGGCGGCCTGTGAGCGACGTACCTGCAGATCCCAGGCCTGGAACCCCCAAGAATCAGGGAAAAGGGGAGGGAGGGGGGCCGGGCCTATGCCCCAAGAGTAGCGGGTTTACGAATACCCACGAATGCCGCGCTCAAAATGCAAAACGCAACCATGGGCGAGCCGCAAGAATCCGAGCATTTCCTGGTGATGGAAGACGGCGGCGCCGCAGGGCACCTCGTGTCTAGAGTGTTTTGTGAAAGGCTTTAGGAGTTTAGCCGTTTGCCCTTCAGCAGCACGGGATCAGAACCTCAGGGTTTTAGAGGCGCAGGGGGTTTCTTGAGGCCAAATGGTCAACAGAGGCCGCGTGCTTGGTTCACTCCCTTGACCCTGAAGCCATAAACCCTGAAACTGATCTTCCCAACTCTTAGTCGGAAGCCCGTCCCCCTCACGCCATTCGCCTAAACCCTGCAAACCCTATAACCCCCAGACTTCGATACAAATCCCTCAAGCTCCACTCCAACCCCACGACCCCCACCAAAAAAAAAAACGAAAAGCCTTGAGGCGCTTGATCTCCAGCTCCGCCCCGGCGGCGGCCGCTGCCGCGCGCACGGAAGAGAGCCTGGGCTGCTTTTGAAGTCTTTTTGCTATTTCGGGATTTCGGCGCCTCGGGTTTGGGAGTTCAGGGGTTGAGGCTTCAGGTGCTCAGGAATTGAGGGTCTCGGGTTCAGGCTTTGGGGTTCAGAGTTGAAGGGGCCAGGGGTTAAAGGGAGTAGGACTAAGGGGCTTAAGGGTTGAGGGTTTAGGGTTTTTAGGACTCAGGATCCCGCATCAAGAAAGAGAAGATTCATAGGTTTGAAGTCATCTCAAAGACCCGTTTGTTGTTGAGCGTAGCTCCCAAAACTTACCTTTGCTTAGTAGGGAATGGAGGAATGGGGTACAATTATAACTACTATTACTACCATTCTTCCATTCCCTACTAACCAACGGTAAGAAAAAGATCTGTGCATGTTGACGGTTGATCGGGACACTAGCTTGTCTGCTCTGCCTTTCGGAAAGGACTCAGGCGGCTTGGGTGTGAGGGTCTGCGTAAGTCAGGCTCGGGGGTCTCGGCTAAAAGCGCTTTGAGGAAGCCGAAGCATACAGCTTTTCATCACCGGCACGAAAACTCTGCTCATGCATCGCTTCAGAGTATTTCGACTCCCTCCCACGACCGCAACAGTGGCATGGTTGCCATAGCCCGGTCGAGGCGCCGGCGCCCCACATGTCTCCACTGGCAGGATGGCCATGAAGTGCTTTTGCATCTTTACGGCATACGCGTCGTCTAAACATGAGACGAGCACGGTTGTCGGGTAGCAAGAACATCAGCGTCGATGCCGGGATGAACCCTCTCGTTTGAGGTGCATGTAAGTGGATCGATCAAGATTGCAGACTGTGAGCCCCACTGCCCAAACATTCAATGATCCACAAGACTCACAACTCCACCTTGCGTGTAGAGGAAGGTAGTAAATGAGACAGAATGGCTGTCCCAGGTAGCACCAGACCTAAAACCTTAAACCCCAAACCCTGAAACCTGCCTCCACAACCTCGAACACCGCAAGAAACCACAAACTCTAAACATTTGGCCCCGGCTTAACCCCAGGATGTGAAATCCGGATCACACACACACACACACACTCTACAAAACCCCTAAGGCCCTGGCAAAACCCCGACAGACCCCTCGTTAAAACCCCTGTGAAACATCTTCAAAGCCTGAAACCTGCGAACCTGCAATATGCGCTGGAGCACTCGTCATCCGCACCATGGAATGCAGACTCCGCAGCTGAAGCCTGACCAAAGGTGATGGGTTTCCATTCATTGTTGAAGGTTTGGCTTTGGGGTTAGGATTTAGGGTTTGGGTTAGGGTTTACGGGTTAAGTTTAGAGTGCAGTGCAGGTCATATGCAGGCTCGTGCACATTGAATCTTAAAACCCTACATGCACCCTGAACAAGGCACCTGTTTAAGGACTTGCATACGGATACCAAAGAAGCAAACTATATTCGGGTGTGGGTACCAACCCATTAAGCCCTTGTTGAACCCCATCCTCATTCCGATCGATTGCAACTGAGTCCATTGACTTCTTCTTGGGTTCAGGATTTCTACGGAACCCCTCAGGTTTCATGGGCGAGAAGGGTTGGAAGGTGTACAAAGCATGCTGTGACTGTTTGTACTACTATAGTGGTTCAAGCTGGTGTTTATTGCTACTGTTGGCTTCAGGAACGGTACGAGGGTACGAGTGCAGGTATTTTGGTTGCCACTCGCGTTCTTATGACAACTAGTACAACTTTTCAAAGCCACAGTCTGCAATTTAGGCAAAAGAACTTCATATGTGAAGCTCGGTCGGCTATTCAATGCGCAAAAACTATAACCAAAGCCAATCCTAAGCGCTAAAACGTTACAACCAAAAACCATGAAAACGCTTAGCTGAATATCCCAACTCAGCCCTAAGCCCTAAACTCTAGATGCCGTGACCCCTAAATCCCCTCGACACAAGCCTTGCCCATGAACCCTTCAAGCTCTGTCTAACCCGTTTCCTCACACTGCCTTATGCCCGCTCACGGGCGAGCGACTGGGAGCAAAAACATCGAACTACAACTGCTTCGGGTTTAAGTATAACGTCTAAGGTTTAGGGTCGAGGGGGGTGGGGTTTCATGTTAAGGATTTCGGGTCGAGGCTTTAGTTTGGGGCTGAATGCTGAGGGTTTACGGCTCAGTGCTTGGTGTTTACGGCTGAGGCTTTCATTTCTAGGGCAATCAGGTTGGGGCGTGGGGAAGCAAGCCTTTACGCCGACATTGCTACACCGAGCTAAACCTGCAGCCCCAAAGACAGGAGTTGCAGCCAGGGTTTCTGGTTTAAGGTTTAGCGTTTTGGGATTCTTGGGGCTTTCGGGCTTCGGGGTTTGAGGTTTGAGCATTGAGGCTTTGGGTATAGTGGGTATAGGATGTTCGAGCTCAAATCGGATTCAAAATAACACTCCCACAAAGCTCACTTCCAACATCAAGATGGCCCAACGATGGTATCGAACCGGTAGAAAGGCAGCAAGACCGGGTAGCTTTCATGTCATACAGCCTGAACCCCTAAACTCTAAACCCTAAAACCTCTAAAGCTAAAGCCTGAACCTGGATCTGAGCCAGAAAGCTTTGGCAGCTGGCCACCGGTGGGAGCCCACAGCATACTCGACCTCAATCGCATTTTAAGGGTTGTTTAAGGGTTTAGCGTTTGTAAGGCTTTGCTGTCGGTTTGTGAGTTATAGGTAGAAATTTAGAGGGTCTATGGTTTAGGGGCCTCCCATGCGCTACTGTGTGGTTGACGGAAAAACTTCCGGGGTCGCACAGACATTCCCTGATAACACCAGCCCTTAAAGAACCCTCGAAAGACTCCTCGAAGAAGCCCTGAAGAACCCTTGAAGAACTAGACAGGTCCCGATTACTAACATGTAACATCACATGGGACTCAGCAGCTCCGCTGCATAGGGCTTTTTTCGGGGCCTGACGGAGGCTTATGCTAGATTCCCCGAAGTAGCTGTACAAACTGATGACCATGTTGCCCGAAGTCTGTAGGGATGCAAGTACACAACAGCAAACCCGACTGCAGACGGTCGGGTCTGGGCCGCAAAGAAATCCCTAGCCCTTTCCTCCTCGACCCAAAACCCCCTCAAGACTCCAAACCCCACATTCCTACGCACCCCGAAACCTAAACCCATCACTGAAACCTAAGCCCACCAGAAGGCGAACTTCATTGTACAAGCTTTGCCAAATCGGGTTTCGCCATCAGGGGGGCATGTCCAGCTGAAATGAAAATCCTGCCCCGGCTTAGGGCTTCGGGGTTTAGGGCTCAGGGCATTGGGTTTCGGGTTCCGGACCTGGGTTGAAAATTGGGATTTCAATTCTTACAAGGCCTTAAGAGTGAAGGGTCTTTGGGCCGACTACCACTCACTGAACTACTGTGGCGAAGCGCCACGCCCGTCTCCGCATCAGCATCGTCTAACGCTATCCAGACGGTGACGGAATTCTCCTCCACAGGAACGAAGTTCTGCGAAATGTACCTGCAGCCCGTTGTGTTTGGTGTCCTCCCGCCATCAACGCCAAACCAACATCCTGAACCTTCAACCCTTCGGCCCGAAGCCCTGAACCCTAAACATGTAAACCCTAAACCGGAAGCCTATGTTCCGAGCAATTCAATGCTTAGACTTGAAGAGTGAACCTTACGAACGAAACCCGATGTCACAAAAGTACTACACTTTACGACTGCAAGGGATTACGGTCTGAGGCTTTTCGACTACTTACCTGACTGTGTCCTGGTATTCCTCTATTCGTGCCTTTCTTGTCGCCACATCATAACATCTTCGCATCGCTTCAGCAAGCCAACAACCAGCCTGCCATTTCTAGGGTTTAGCGTTTAGGGCATAGGGTGTTTTTTATAGTCGAAGACTGTTGCTGCTGTACGTCATTCTCAAAATTGGGAAAACCTTCAGGGGAGCTTGTGATCAAGATCTTACCGTACCGTCTTGGGTCTATCTTTGGGTGCCAAATACGAACTCCAATATTCCTGCGTCACTTCACTGCACTGTTACGCCCCAGACCCTAACCCCGAAACCCTATACCTAAACCCTAAAACTCTGCGGCCCAGGCACGCGCTGTCCTGATGGTAACCCACCCCACTTGCACCTCCATCACTGCGTGTCGGGCTCTAGGGTTTCACGTTTCAGGGCTTTCAGCCTCTAGTGTTTCAAGGCATAGCAGGGCTTAGAGGTTTTAGGGTTTTGGGGCTTAGGGGTTTCAGGGTTAGGGGTTACGAGGGATTTGTGAAACTCAGGGATCCTTTCGCAGGGGATCCTCAGGATCCTCCAGGATAGGGTCCAGAGCTTGGACGACTATGTCCAAGGGTTGAGGGTGAGCTTGACATCCAGACCCAAGGCTGCAGAGCCCCATCGAAACTTTGAGTGTGTTTTGTGCCCTTTCAGAAGAGTTGAAGGCAGGTCTCCTTCGCAGACAGCCATACACTCGTAAGCCATGAAAGCCGGTACAAAGACGCAGAGCAGCTAGGCTGCAATTGCAGGGTTTCAGGGTCGGAGTTCAGGGCTCTGTAGTGTAGTGTTTAGCGTTAGTCAGGGTTTCTGCCTTAAACCGTGCAATAAATTCAAACCAGACCCCCGCTCCACCCAAAAGCATGAAACCTGCAGGCTTCCAGAGCACGTCATCCTGACCCAAGCGAGTGCTCTTCCAACCTCAGATTTCGGAAGTAATGTTGAGAAGCGAAGGCTTGTGTTTTCGCTAGGCCTTAACGCCCCATTGCTGTAAGACACACCAACATGCCTAAACACGCGCGAAACTCTGAGAACTGCGTAAGGCTTTGAGGGTTGTGGGGTCTGGAGGTCGAGGTCTTCGGAAATCTATTACGCGTTTTGGGGTTTCTAAGACTTTGGGGCTTTGGGGTTACCCAAGGCCCTGAGCCCTAAAGACTTGAACCCTAGGCCGCGATCGCCGAACCCTGAACCCAAAGCTCTAAGCTCTGAACTTACACCCAAAGCCCGAGCCAAGCCTACAATACGACATAAACCCAAACGCGACGACACGGGACCAGACCAGCACCAGAGACCCAGAAGCCGCAAATCCTGCAGCCTAGGCCGAGCCCGGCCAAGCCCTCTCCCTGTCTGAGAGCTTACAAGGATCCGGTTTTGAAGGCTTTCGCAGAAAGTGTTTTTTGTCTTTGTCATAATCAGCTCAAAGCCTTGCAATCACAACATCAAGTGTCAAAAGGTCCAAACACCAAAGCCCCAAGGGTTTAGGTTTTACGGTTTAGGGCTAGTGCTCTGCCCGTCCAGCTGCCCATGAGCTCCGCCGCGAGCTGCGCAGTCCGCGCCGACAGCGCCGCCGCCGCCACGAGCGGCGACGATTTCCTGGAAGCTTCGGGTCCAGAGTCTAGGGCCTAGGGGTTGACGAGCTGGCAATCACTTCGGGTTCAGAGTTTAGGGGCTTAGGGTCTAGGGGCTTAGTGGCAATCACTGCTTCAGTCACTACGAAGCTTTGGGGGTTTAGGGTTTTGGGGCTCCAGGCTGTATTTAGTTAACAGTTTTAGGGTTAGTTGCTCTGTGGGGGAGAAGGGATGTGCCTTAAGGCTTACGTGTTCAGGTTTTGGAGGTTTGGGTTTAGGTTTTGTGCGTGGGTAACTGAATCACAAGCTACGCGCAAGCATTCACGGAGGCAAACTACAAGAAGCTGCACGATGGATATCACGAGGGACAGTGTGACCTTACCAGCGCTGTGGTATGTCCATAAACGGTGAAGATCCGAGACGCCATGCATTCACAATCTCTCGGAACTTGTCCGGCTTGGAGATGCCCTCTCGCCAGTGCCACTCGTCAGGGTAAATTCCTCAGGCAGGGCGCAAGATTTAGTGTCAAGCCTGGCCTTTAATCGCAAGCTACTCTACAAATCCGTCAGCGGACTTGCAGGGTTGTTTAGAGGCTTTCGCAGCGGCCCTGTATGTTTAACTTCACCCTAAACCCTAAAAGTAAACCCGAACTGCAAAAGCTCAGCTTCCAGTTGGGAACTTGCCGGCGAACAGCTCCGCAAAGTGACTGCGGAGCTCAGCAGCCGCTTCTGAATCGAGGATGTTCTCCTTATAGGTTTCGGCAGAGTGAAGGTACTCACGGGGAACCAGGAGGTTTGCACGAAGGTTCGACACAGGGATGATCCATGTAATTCTGCGGCCTTAGAGATTTTGATATATTGAAAGGTTTCTAAAGATTTTCATTTGGGTGTGGCTTTATGTGGATGCTAAGGGAGTTTGCAGGTTTACGGTTCTGGCTGTGGGCTTCAGGATTGAGGAACAGGCTTGTAGAGTTGAAGGGTTGGCCGCGTATGTGACCTTCTCTTGAACGAACGACTTTACTTACTAAGAGGATCTCTACTGAAACCGCTAAGCACCAAACCTGAAATCCTGCATTTTTCGATCAGACGTCTATGTTAGGCCTGAGAGCCTTCGGACCTTCAACGTTTTGAGGGTTAGAGCCTTTGGGTTGTGGGATTTTCAGGCTTGGGGTTGTGGCGTTTGGACTTAGGCTTCCACGATTCGAGTTTCGGGTTTGGGGCTTTAAGGTAAGGTGCCCTTCCCATCAGAAACTTTTTGTCCTCAGGCATAATATGCAGAAAAGATATATACAAAAGCCCGTTAGAAACTTACTGTTGGGTAACCCCGAATCCAAGTAAATCCGAATATGGAGCCTGGAGCTAGCGAAACACCCCAAACCGCACACGACTCTAAATCCTCTACATGTGTAGTCGCACTCTCCGGGCATCTTCGGGTGCCCATTCCTAAGCACTGAAACGCCGCAGATTCCCTTGTTCCTAAGATGTGCATATTTCTCTTTGGGGTTCGGTTTAAGTTTGAGACTTCAAGTTTCTCCTTTACGCTTGAGGGTAGGCTTGACTGGTAGGTCAGGGGGTTGAGATTTGAAGGCACAGTGGAGTCACAGTGTGATGGAAGTCATAATTCTTATCCAATTCGTGATTTATCCAAACAAAGATTATGATTTTTTGGAACATTTCTGAGAGTTAGGAATCATCTCATCTAACTGACAAGTTGAGTGCTGAAGGTTTCTGGTCTCGAGGTCCTAGGTGTAGGTGTCATGCTGTATCGAGGGGGCCATTGCCTTCACAACCCAAATTGTCCCCACTATCCGCTATGTCTCTAAACAGGAAACGATGCCCCTAGCATAAGAGTGCGTGTGTCCTTCAGCCGAAGACTTAACGTGCTGCCGAAGCTCCACCAGCAAGAAGCCGTCTTTCTGGAAAGCCTGTCGTTCAGACTCATCGATCGCCATGGCGAGCCCTACGCGTCGACACTCACCAAATACTATATATAACATGTTATGTATGTGTGTATATATATATATATATATATATATATATACGTATATATATATATATATGTATATATATGTATATATATATATATATGTGCTACATGATATATACGTATCCATCTTGGGATGCTGCATGATGCTGAAGCTGGGCTGCAGCTCATGTGAGCCGAGGCCGAGGCACATTCTAGGGCTGAAGCCTTGGGAAACGTTTGAGATGTCGTGTGTCTTGGGTTTTGCGGAGGGTGTTTGATGACAGCTGCTGAAAACTCTTTGGCTACGGCATCCGGATCTGCAACGCGGTTTATGCGCAATTCCATCATCAGCGTCGGCGCAGCCCGTCAAATCTCCAACATCACGACAAAATCAATAGGAGAGCTGCATGGAGCGATGCTTCCTTCACTCGGACTTGTTTGACGAGACTCATGCAAACTTCGACACGAGGAAAACTGCCAAAAGCGATGCAGAAACGACCATCTCAATGCACGCTTTTTCCACTCTGATGCTCAAGCTTCTCACTCCCTGGTTCCTGGTCTGCCAGGAGAACATCAAGCGGAAGTTCTGCACGGTCCTTTTCACAAAGATGTCCGATGCTGTTCAATGCTCAACAACACATGCACACTGTCCTGCTTCTTCGACAACACTTCCAAGCAGGCTTGGATGAACCTGAACTTCAAGTTCACACTTAGAGCAGGCTTGTGAGGCTTGTCGTCTCAGCAGCAAAGCTGCAGTAAGCACGCGACGTTTTTCGAGACCCGCAATGCAAAGTCCAACTACTTGCGAAGCAGCGAACGAAAGCCAAGGCAGCAATCGAGCTGCGCTCGTTCTTGCTGTCTGGATGGCCCTGGCATTCGCTGACAAGGAAACAAGCAAGCTGTGGACGGAAAGCGATGGCCCAATGATGTTCGGCGAAATTGCTGAATTTTGCATGCAGCATTGGCAGAAGAGTTGGAGAAGCCGCTCTGCTACGGTCCATGTGGCCCATCGAGCAGCGCTCGCCCCGGTCACATGGAACAACTCTACAGCATAAGAGCGGTGGCAGCAACTTTGCAACTGACATAACGAATCAGGCTGAGCCATGGCCAGGTTGCTAGATACCTGTCGAACAAGCACAAAAGAGAGCCGTCGACAGCTGAGTACTGCTTAACAAGCAAAGATCTGCATGGAGGAGCCTGGCACGAATCTACGGCTCTGGCGAATTGGCAGAGATGCCTTTTGCAGAGTCTTGCACGCCCTTACAACCCAAATGCAAACAATGATTTGAATAACCCCTTGGTTTGTTCTAGTAAAGAAGATAAGACATTTCCTCAAAACACTGACAGAGTTGGTGACAAAGACCACACCTCTTAGCATACTGCAAGCCAGAAGCAGCCCGTGTGAGATGCAGGCTTGGCACAAACAAAACTACTGTAGATAATGAGGCTATCAGAAGGGCATGCAACAGCAAGGCATCTCGCTTTCAGAATCGAGCCCAGACTCTTCGTCAATCTGTCTCAAGCGCTGCGACTGCTGCGCGCCTCAGACTGTTGGCCCCTTGGTGCCCGCTTGGACTCCTCGCTATGGGGCAGGTGGCAGTACTTGCATTCCCGGCCCTCGGAGCACCTCCCCCTCAAAAAGCTTCTGCAGATGTTGCTGCAGCGAGCGGTGCCCTTGCAGAACCAGGAGCCACGGGAAGGCAAGTTATTCCTCAACTGGGGTGGGGCGGAGGAGCTTCTGCGGTTTGGCTCCTGCGCAGCGCTGCTGAGGACGGCCACGCTGTTCAGACTGATTCGGCCATCATTTCCAGGATCGATGGTGAACACAAACACCTCCTGATTTTGTTGAATGTTCAGCGAGAAGACCTCCTCAGTGCTTATCTGGCTGGTGACGGACTCGATCACCTGGCCGCCAGAGGTGGTGAACACGACATCACCCTGCTGCAGGAGAGATGCACGCTCATGGATCCAAGAGCCCGACCTCTGCACCCGCAAAGGATGCCCGGCCGTCAGGCGGTGCTCGCCACCAGCAGAAAAGTGTGACATAAGCCGCACAGCTTGCCCTTGAGAGATCACCTGACATGTGCAATTTCCACAAGGTCCTGCCGCGAGCAAGACTCCAAGACTCGCGGCTCGTTCGACTGGCACCAGCAGGTATGTGTTGAGCGGCAAACAATCACCATTGGGTTGAAACTCAACATGAGTAGAGGGTGACGCTGCCCGGACCAAAGGTGGAGATTCGATGAGGATCCAATCCCCATCCGAATGGGGCAATGCCCGCTGGTCAACTTCTGGGATGTGGGCGACACCGTTCTGCATCGCAAGAGAAGTCGGCTGGAGATCATGCTCCGCCGCAAGAGCAATTGGTTGGACGACATCATTCTGGATCGCAAGAGTAGTTGGCCGGACGTGGATCGCAAGAGCTCCTGGAACAGAGGGGGCCAGGTCGAGAACAGCCACGTGAAGCTGCTCGAATGCCCGAGGAAGTTCTGCATAAGTTGCACAAAGCCTTGCGACCTGCTCATGCATCTTAAGCGTCTCAGCATTCAACTCCTCCGGGTCGTCAACTTGTTTCGCATCCTCTGCCGTGCCGGCGAGCTCCTCTGCGACCTGCACGACCATGTCCAAACAAGATTCCAGGGCTTCGTTCTTCTCGCAGACGGTAACCAGTTTCCCCGCAGTCTCACGCAGCATCTGCTCCATTCGTCTGAACTCTGACTTCGACTTCTTATGCTGTTTGATCTCTGCGGCCCACAGCCTTTTCAACAGTTTCTTCACGAGGTCACGGCCAACGTATCCAAGCAAAGCCAATGCTAAGATGCCAGCAGAGCCGAAGATAAACGGCGATGCCGCCCCAACAACGGAGGACAGTGAAGCTACCGTAACTTGCAAAGAAGTCACTGCATGTGTAGCGCTTGCAACCTGAGCTGCGGCGGCTGTGGAGGCAGTTGTGGCTGTTGAAGCCGCTGTGGTTGCAGCTGTCGCGGCAGCGGCCGCAGCATTTGCAGCAGCGGTGGCCGCAGTCGCTGCACTTGCTGCCTGTGCGGCTGCTTGCCCTGTGCTTGCTGCATATGTCGCTGTGCTTGCTGCATATGCTGCTGATTGCGCTGTGCTTGCTGCAGATGCTGCAGCGCTTGCAGTGGATGCAGAGTGCAGTGTAGCCCATGACCATAGCGCCCCAACGCCAGCAGCTGCCGCAGCTCCTGCGCCGAGTACCACTCCTACTGGGGCTGCGGGCGATGCCATCAACCCGGCCGAAACAGCCAGGCTGCCAAGAACCTCGGAGCCCAGGAAAGTGGCAGCAGGTGTTGCGGCGCTTGCTGCTGCAGCCGCAGCACCAGCACCGGCAGCAGAAGCCAGGCCTACACCAGCCGCACCCGTGGCCGCACCTGCAGCCGCACCCGTAGCCGCACCCGTAGCCGCACTCGTAGCAGCAACCGCAGCTGCGGCATCTGCGGCTGCCGTTGCCTTGGCCGCAACGTCAGCTGCGGTAGCTGCGGCTGCCGCAGCTTGCTGTGCTTCCGCCGCCAGGGTTGCAGCGCTCGCTTTGGCGACTCCCGCAGCTGCCAGCTTCTCCGACGCAAGTGCTCCTTTGGCAAGTGCAGTTGTCTTGGCTGCTGCAAGGGTGCTGGTTGCAGTTCCTAGTGCTGATGTCTTCGCTGCTAGCATGCTTCCGGCGACCAAAGCCGTACCCCCAGCTCCAGCCAAGACAATCAGACCACCTGCAGCAAGTACGCAGTTGATCCGGCTTAGCAGGGAGAACCAGGAGTCACGCCTCTTCTCGGTTTCTTGGATCAAGCCGTCGGCTCCAAGTGCTGCTTCTGCACACCTGTCAGCAATCTCTCGGATCTTCGTCTGCAGCCGGTCCAACTTGGGGCGCAGCTCTGCATACTTGTCTCTGAACCGCTTGGCCTTGTTCGCAATGCGCTCTGCTAAGCTTTGGAGGCCAGGGAAGTCGCCTCTTTCCAGATGAGACCTGACAGCGTTGACGTCCTTGTCGATGCCATCGGCTTCTCTCTGCAGGGCTGCCATGTTCGAGGGCTGCATGTCTTTGAGTAAGTGCTTGAGGGCTCCGGCATCCTCAGAGTCCATAGTTTCCTGCATCTCCGACATCACGTCTCGGAAGGCTTGCAGCTGCCCAACTATGTTTTGGAAAGAGCGCGACATCTCGTTATTAAGAAGGCCACAGATGGTGTCTCGCACCCACGGGCTCCGCTGCCGCAGAATCTCCCGCAGCTGCGCCCACTCTGAAGTCTGCTCCATCTCCGCATCCAACCGCTCCAGCGGTGGGCGGTCCGCATCTCGCAGCAATTGAAGACACAGCGGCTCGCGAGCTGCTGGCATGATGGCGGTCTCCGTGACCATGGCTCCAAGCACGACAACGCTGCTGGCCAGGACGCTTGATACAGCCGCGGCTAAGGCTACCGCTTTCGCGTCACACGACAACGCGATGCTAAACACGCAGGATGACGTGCAATGTCAAGGCTGAGGGAGTGGCAGGATCTTGGAGCCGACTGCACATTGCACGTCGTTGTGCCCTGCAAGCTACGTGCACCGTTGTCAAGGCAAGATGGGAGAGAATCACAACACCTTGTGTGCGGTGCAACCTCTCCTTCGAATCACAACTGCTACGGCTCTCCAGGCTCGGGAACTATTCCTGCAAGTGAGGCCGAGCTCCACACATTTTCTGGAGTGCGTTGAGATGCTAGGCACCCTGTTGAGCACCAAAAGATGGGCTGCAGCCGGTGCTCCCTGCATTACATGCTGCACAAAGCGTGGCTGGCTCTTGAGGGGGTTAACGCCTTTGGTTGTGGGATTTTCAGGCTTAGGGTTGAAGCGTTTTGGATTTAGGCTTCCACGATTCGAGTTTCGGGTTTGGGCTTTAAGGTAAGGTGCCCTTCTCGCCAAAAGCTTTGGAGGTTGTCCTCATTCACAATATGCAGAAAAATACAAAAGCCCGAAAAAAAACTTGCTATTGGGTAACCCCGAATCCAAGTAAATCCGAATATGGAGCCTGGGGCTAGCGAAAAACCCAAACCGCACACGACTCTAAATCCTCTACATGTGTAGTCGCACTCTCCAGGCATCTGCGGGTGCCAATTCCTAAGCACTGAAACACTGCAGATTCCCTTGTTCCTAAGATGAGGAAATTTGGCTTTGGGGTTCGGTTTAAGTTTGGGATTTCAAGTTTCTTCTTTACGGTTGAGAGTAGGCTTTAAAAGGATGGGTCAGGGGTTGAGATTTGAGGGCACAATGGAGTCACAGTGTCATGGAAGTCAGAACTCGTATCCATTTCGTGACTTTTCCAAGCAATCATTAAATCTAAACCTTTCTTCTGAGAATTATGAATCATCATATCTAACTGACAATTTGAGTGCTGAGGGTTTCTGGTCTCGAGGCCACAGGTGTAGGGGTCATACTGCATAGAGGGGCCATTGTTTTCAAGACCATCAGAATCCAAACAATGCCTTCTGGCCTATCACAACCCAAATTGTCCCCACTACCCGCTATGTCTCTAAACAGGAAACGATGCCCCCAGCTTAAGAGTGCGCGTGTCCTTCAGCCGAAGAGCTAAAAATGCTGCCGAAGCTCCACCAGCAAGAACCCGTCATTCTGGAAAGCCTGTCGTTCGGACTCATCGATCGCCATGGCGAGCCCTACGCATCGACACTCACCAATACTGCATTTAACATGTTTTGCATGTATACATATATATATATATCAAAACTTCGTGATATATACGTATCCATCTTGCGATGCTGCATGATGCTCAAGCTGGGCTGCAGCTCATGTGAGCCGAAGCCGATTGTAGGGCTGAAGCCTTACGTTTGAAATGTCGTGTGTCTTGGCTTTTCGGAGGGTGTTTGATGACAGCTGCTGGAAACTTCTTGGCTACGGCATCCGGATCTGCAACGCGGATTATGCGCAATTCCATCACAATTTTTCCACCGTGATTCGTAAGCCTGGGACGGATCAAGCCGAAGGTTCATCAGTGGATCAGAGGAAACGCAAGCAGAGAATCCCGGAGCTCCGGGGAACCCTGTAGGTGGGCTCCCAAGTTTCCATGAGTGAGCCTTGTGAATTGAGGAAATGATTGAATGCGTTTGGGCGAGAGTTAGTGGCTGCAGGTGGAAAGCAGCAGTAGGAATCTGTTTGCGCACAGTCGCATGTGATTGCCAAAAGATGCCGGTTATCTAAGGCTTCAGTCACTGTACTCTTTAGGTCGTCGCACTTTTTCAACCTGCTCCTCCAGATTGTCACAGTGCGCTGTGCGCATGCCTTTGCCTCCACCCATCTTACCCATCTATCCCGGGCTCGAAGCCGCTCCAACAGTAAGCAAAGAGAACCACGTAATGGGAGGAAAACCATATTGCACATAACTCTCTGCCTGCTCCAGCATAAGAGGGAAAAGGCGCATGACCGCCAGCACCTTGTCCGACACGTGGTCCTGAAGCTTTGACAGAAAAGAGCTGACGAAACCTCCTGAATATATATATATATATATATATATATATATATTTCCATGATTTTGGCATTTAGCCACCTTCCTCTTCTTCTGACAAAGTCCCCATTCTCAGTCACATGGAGGAGCCAGGTGGCCCCACCCGCCCTCATCGACCCAAGGTCGAGAGGACGGATGTTGCGGTCTTTGAAGCTGTTGAGGTCAAAGGCATCAATAAGCTTGGCAAACCTTTGGCGAAAAGTGCCCGGGGCATACAGCCAAAGCTTTTGATGCCGATGACGCTTCATGAAAGCCAACTCGACCACTCTCATAAGCTGAGGCTGGTCCACTCGAAGAGCTTGGTGCCTAGCAGCAGTGTGCCGAGTCTTCGGTTCCCGAACAGCCAGGAGGATGTAGTCGATGGTGCCTTGAACGTCCCCTGGTAGCACAAGGTCCCGCCTGTACGCCGCAAAAATCTCGCCAATTCTAGCCAGGCCCCCCCAAGCCAAGGCCAGCAAGCCTGCCACATCAAGCCAGCCCCAGGCCAAGGCCACAGTTATCAGTGATAAAAGGACCTGCCATGGCATAGCTTGATGATGTACGTGAGGTTCGAGGCGCAGCCACTAAAAAGCAACATCCCAAGCAGGTTGCAGCAACCGCCGTATGTTTCGGTGCTTTCCCGACAAAGCGTTCACAGTCTCAGAATAATGGTTGTAAGGCCGGCCCCCCTCATATAGGGCCCTTCCATAGCGAGCCATCAGGGCATTCACCGCGTTAATGTCGTCATAACAGCAGCCTTCAAAGTGGTCCTCAGGGATGGCCTGGTCACGCAGCCACTTCAGAAAACCATTCCAAAAGGTGTCGCGCAGGCTTTGAGTTGACCTCTCAACGGGCCTGCCCTCAGGAAGAGGTCGGGCAGACCTGAACTCGCGTCTTGCAAGGTCTCCAGGCGTCAAAGTCCATGGAAGGAGGGCGGTAAAGCAAGGCCGGGACGCTGGAATAGAGATCACAAGCTTTCTTCGAAGTCCACTGGCAAAGGCGAAGAACAAGCCGTAGCCAATTCAAAGCCCATCGTCGGCACCTCGGCAGAGCGGCTAAGTCCATGCCACACAGAGACTTGTGAAGAGAAGGACCCGGGACAGGAGGAGGAACCTCGGTGCCGCGAGAGGGCCCATCTGCAGGCATCCAGCGAGTAGGGCAGAACGGCAGGGCTTTTTTTGGCTTGACTGGGCCTCGTCGACTACGGCTGTAGCACTCGGTCCCTACAAACATGCGAAACTACAAACCAAGCAACAAACTACAACAAAGCGGTGAAACAGCAAAGCGAAGCTCTACAAATGGCTGCGGCGCACAGGCTTTGCCGGTGTTAGCCGTTCAGCACAAACTACGGAGCCTCAGCGACCGGTCAGGAGCAACAAAGAGCCGTCGCTCAGAGCTGCCCAAAACAACAGGTGGAGCCAAGACCAGGCTCCGGTTGCCGTTCTAGTCTCGCCAGACAACGGACAACCCCTGTGTTTTGTTCCGTCACCATCGTGCACACCAAAATCCAAAAGTCCAAGGCCCACTGCATGCGTGGGCGGCTTCCAGATAAGGAGTGCGACAGTGCCGCAGGCAAGCAACCCGCTCCTGAAACCGGCGTCATTGGACACACACCTCAAGGGGACAAACCCAATCGACCCTCGGCGTGCCAAGCGCCAAGGCGCCGCCCTGATGCGACACTGGCAACCTGCGTGGGCCACACCCTCACGGTCATAATGCCGGCGTCCTGCCAGTGACAAAGTTGCTCCACCACGGCACGCTAGCGCATTCCGCCGCCGCCAGCAGAATCAAATCAATGTGCCTAGCCGTGAGCTGGAACACTGGGTCCGCCGCAAAGACAAGCAGGGATCGCCAAGGCGGGCATTGACGTGCAGATCACACGCTTCCACAGCAGCGTCAAACCGATGTGGCGGCCATGGCAGCAAGTGAAGACACCACTCGGAGGTGGGAACTAACACGATGGACAGGTGAAGGGGCGAGCGACGTATGTCGCAGGCAGGCGGCGAAGCTTAGGGGCACACGGCACGCATGTGGCTGAAGGCGCGTGAATGTAAACCGGCAGGAACAGGACGTTGCGGTGCGTCACTGTCCGCAGTACGGAATGGCGACATCCAAGCCCCAATGAGGTGGCCACCAAGCCCGCCAGCAAGGCAAGCCCACAGCCCAGCCGTGCCTTTCCCGGCGCCCTCAGGGATGAAGGCTGGTAGCAACCCACACGGACAACGTCGTGCAGGGAGTGGCGTGGCTCGAGGACCATCAGAATGGCACTGCACTCACGCCCAGCGGACCGCCCCCCTCAAGAAGGACACCGTGGACATCCCAACGGCCAGGGCCACGCAAGCCGTGGTCCAAGCAACGAAGCCTCAGCAGCCCCTGTGTATCGCCCGTTTCGAACCAGAGCCCAGATCAGAGCTCAGGTGATGGTGCATCAACTTGGTATCGGGAGCAGGGGTGGCATGGAGGGTGAAAATAAACTCAACGACGTATGTCGTCAGTTGCAACGCGTCCACAGGGGGAAAGCGATCACAGAGATGAACCGCCTAACCCCATTTGTTCGGTCACAACCAGAGCACCCAGATCCAATTCCCAAGCTCACGGGCAAGCGTGGCCAGCATCCGAACGGGGGGTGCATCAACATGGTGGCGAGGGCCTGCCCGCCCACTCAGCTTGAGCCCAACCTCGGCTAAGCAACGCTGAAGCCGTGTAAAACCCAATTGCTGAGGGAGAGAAACCGACACAACGACGTATGTCGTCGGTCACAACAGCGGCTGATGAAGACAGACTGTCAACTAGATGAGCCAGCCGCCGCTGAGCGCGGCCAGCTGTCGAGAAGGCGCTGCATGTCACGACCGCTCGAAGGAAAATGACTCTCCCTCAAGAGATA